GAGGGGGGATGGTATACATGTGAGGATCGTGGTTCTTATGGGGTGAGTTTGTGGTGTACATGTGAGGATTGTGGTTCTTATTAGGCAAGTGGTTATATTCGACGGGGATTGAGTGCTTTTTTGGACAAATTGAAGTTTGTGGTCGGAAATTGTAATGAGATTAGATTTTGGGATGATTGTTGGTGCGGAGATCAACCGCTGAAGGAGGGATTTCCTTCCTTGCACCGCATTGCCTCAGTGCCCACTGCTATGATGAGTGATCTCTTAGACATTCATAATGGGAGATATAGTTGGAATATTACTTTTGGGAGGGATCTACAGGATTGGGAATCGGAAGATTATTAATTGTTTATGACCTTTTTACATGAGGCACAAATTTGTGTAGGAGAGAGGGATTGCGTCAGGTGGAGGACAGCACGGGATGATATTTTTTCAGTTCGCTAGTACTTTGGTTCCGTCATGGGATGTGTGAATAATTCATTCCCCTGGAAGTTGGTGCGGTAGTGTAAATTGCCTCCTCGGGTGGCATTCTTATTGTGGACAGTTGTGAGGGGACAGGTCTCGACGGTGGATAATTTTCGACGTAAAGGCTTCTACGTAATCAAGTGGTGTTATATGTGCAAGAAGGATGGGGAGACGATCGATCATTTGTTCATTCATTGTGATGGTGTACGTTGGATCTGGAACAGTATACTTGGTTCTCAATCTATGGATTGGGTGATGCCTCGTCGTATAGAGGACGTGATACGGGCATGGCGGAGAAAACTTCGTGATAAGGATAGCAAACTAGGGGTGTCAATGCTCGGCTCGGCTCGCGAGCACACGTCTTTTTTTTTTTTTTTTTTTTGGGAAACAAATAGGTAAATTGGAAAATAAAAAAGTAATTTTAATTTTTAAATCGTGAATTTTTTATATAAAAATTTTTTATTTATAAAAAAGTAGATAAAAAATTTAAACCCTCCTTTTTTATCCGAGTTTGGGACCGACTATTTAAATTTAGAGTAGGCGGAGTTAAAAATTGTATTGTTTGTTTGTTTGTTCGTGTACAATTTTTAAGAGAAAATTTAAAACATTATTAAAAATTATTTTTTCAGCAACTCTGTGCGTCTCCTTGCATATAATCTTCGAAGTAAATCCCTTCTAAAAATTGAAAGGGTAATCGAATGCCCTTTCAATTATTAGAAATCTTCACTTCGAAAATTATATAGAAGTCTTTCACTTCGAAGATTATATATAATTTTCGAAGTGAAAGACTTCTGACAATTGAAAGGGCAATCATTCGATTACTCTTTCAATTTTCAGAAGGAATTTACTTCGAAAATTATATGCAAAGGTACGCACAGCGTTGTTCAAGAAAAGAATTTAAAACGTAGATATATAGTAGTAATAGTACTAACTACTAACAAAAATTTAGCTAAATTGATGGAAAGAAATTTTTTTTCTTTTTCTTTTTTTTAACTGAAAGAGATAAAAAAAAATAAAAATGAAATCCTTATTTATTTTTATTTTTCTTTTTAAAATAGATAAAATATAAACCCTCCTCCTTTATCCGGACTTGGGACCGACTACTTAAACTTTCAGCAGGCGGAGTTAAAAATTGTAGACGAACAATTTATTGTAGCGTGTACAATTTTTTAAAGAAAATTAAATCATCAATATAATTAAATCAAATATCACTTGTCGACATGCAATTTTGGCATATTTATCTTGTAGTCGAAAATGAGCATCCTATCAATCCTTAACGCACATTAACGTTTCTAAAATATCTTCTTTCAGTCGGCTCCTGACCTCGCTCAAAACTCTTTTACCTACACTAAAAGTAGACTCTGAAGCAACAGTGCTAATCGGTGGTATTAGCAGATCTTTTGCAATTGCAGATATAACTGGCCAACGTCGTTCATACCTTCGTCAGAATTCAATTACTTCGTCTGAACTTTTTTTAATTGTTTTATCTGTTGGCATATTCTGGTTGAAATAATCAATTTATTTAGCAGGCAATGTATTATGGCTTGAGCTCGTAGATGTTTGATAAGAATGAGATACAGATGTAGACGACATGGCATTGGCAGTAGATGAACACATTGCAGATGAATCATATTTATACGAGTCAATACCTTGAAATAAATTAAATATTTTTGCATCTTCAATTTCAGCGAAAGGAGTAGGTGCAGATGGTACCAGACTAATATTGATACCCATTCGGTTCGCATATAATTCATACATTTCACATAATGTTTGCTCTAAATTTCTATGTTTGATAGGTGTGTCAAAGTTAAGGCGTTTGAAATTTGATCAATTATATATTTAGTTCCCGATAAAATATATCGGGGGTTCATCACGCATGCTAAATGAAATAACATAGGTAAGTCTTCCCAATATTTTCTAAATTTTAACTCCATAGCAATTATAATTTCACTAAAATCAGGCTCATTTTTGTATTTATGAAATTTTCTTGCAATTATATAAAGACGTTCAAATATCATACAGCTGGTGGGATAGTAAACGTTCGATAAAATCTTAGTGATTTCATAAAAAGATGTCAAAAATCTTTTAACTTTCAAAACTATTTGCCAATCACGTTCAGTCAACATACCCTCGTCATCACTTCTAACATGTCTATTGTTATAAAAGTCAGTTATTAAATGTTCAAAATCTTCACATGACTTTAATAACAAGTAAGTAGAGTTCCACCTATGACCTACATCGCTAACAAATGCACTCCTATTTCGGCACTCCTATTTCGGCACAATAATCCTCAAATGCTTGTTTTCTACTTGGGGAGATTGTGATATATATTAGTACGTTTCTAAAATTTTGAAGTTCATCCTTTATATGTTTTAAACCATCTTGAACAATTAAATTCAAAATATGACATACACAACGAATATGAAACAAATACCCACTAAAATCAGGTCGTAGTACCCTATGCAATTTATCGGCAACTACTTTATTAACACTAACATTATCGAAAGTAAATGAACGAATTTTACTTTCGCAATGATATTCTCTAACAATACTAATAATAGCACTAAATATATTATTAGCGTTGTGAGAAAATTCAATAATTCTAAAAGCAATAATTTTTTTATGCATGCACTAAAGTGGGTCTATATAATGTGCAGTTGCAGCTATATATGCTCTTTTATTAATTCCTTCCCATATATGCGAAATTAAAGATATGACACCCCCATATTTTTACAAATCCATAATTAATTGTTGTTTTGTTTCAGTAAAATATTGTATTGTATCGGAACGAAGAGTGTTTCGACTTACCCAAACCTATCTTGGCTGCAAATATTCTTTCATATACGAGACGTAGTGTTGGTTGTCAATTAATGTCAAAGGCAACTCAGCACCAGCAACAAGCTTCACCATTCCGGTTCGAGCTCTCTCCTCCGAATACACCCATGTGGATAGGGGTGTAGCACAACCATCAGCGTCTGGACTGCCAAATTGCAATTGTGCTTGACAATCTGGAATAAGTCCGTGTTTGACCGCACATACTTTGTAATGGTGGTTGAGATGGGTGGTACCAATTCCTCTTTGCCATGTCAATCTTTGTTGGCAGTATTTACATACTGCTTTGAATTTTGGGACTCCATTGACGATTTTTCTCGTTGAAATTAATTTAAAGCGATCCCAATATTTTGCTTGTTTTTTCCCATTTCGCTTTTCCCTCGCATCATGAATGTTTAATTGAGCCTCTTCTTCTTGATCGTGTTTCGCTTCGGGAACGTCAATATCATCCAAATTAATTGAATAAGTAATAACTAGTAAAAGAATAATTGTATAAATGTAGTGAGAAATGAAAATTGGATGAAATTTCATTAAATATAGTGAGAACTGAGAAATAAGAATTGAATATTGTATAAATTGTATATAAAAATTACACAACTATCAACACAACACAAGAGAGTTGAGAGAAAGAAAATTGAAAGTTGAGAGTGAATTGTAAAAAAATTTGTGGCTAAATGCCACTGGTACTATTTATAGAAGAAGAAGAGGGAAAAAATAAATAATAAAAATAAAAATTAAAGGACAGAAACGGTTACTGAAAAAATTAAGGGACCATTAACGGTCATAAATTTAAAAAAAAAAAAAATTTCAGGGACCGAAATGGTCACTTTTTTAAAAAAGTGATCGTTTCGGTTACTTTATAAACGAGCGTTGAAAACGAGCCGCTCGTGAGCTTGCCGCGAGGGGCTCGTTTAATTTGCTAGCCGAGCGCCCTCCCACCGAACCGGCCTTCTCGGCTCGCGCTCGGGCTCGTGTTTTTACGAGCTCGAGCTGCCCACGAATTCCATTTTCACGAGCCGACGAGCCGCTCAACCCATTTGCCACCCCTATAGCAAATTAAAATGGCATCTTATCTCGGACTGCATTGTATGGTGCGTGTAGAGAGAAAGGAACAACCGTTGCTTCGAAGACCAAACAAAGACAAGAGAGCAGATAAGAGAAACATTTTACTGTACCTTTTATTCTTAGTTTAATGCTGTGGCTAGAAATGTTGTAGATGAGTTGCCTAATTTCATGTTATTTCTTAATGGCTTAAAGTGAGTGTACACCCCCCGTGTATTCTCTTTTAAGTAATAAAATTATCTGATTACCTATAAAAACAAAATGTAAAGGAAATAAATGAGGGCATTGGAGAATAAGATGGTTTACTTTGGATATGCTGCCTATGCTTGTGCTATTTGATATTTGATGATAGTATCAGCTATTGCACCCTAGTAGTCATAGATCTATATTGTAAAAAAAATGTGTAATCTTTCCTGTTTAAATTCACTCTTTTTCTATTATTAGAGCGCTTTAATCCAAGATGGACATTCATATATTTATCATTTTCATGTCGTATTATTCAAGCATAAGCTGCACATGTGGTCATAGTGTTATATTATGACTCTCCTTTAAGTTTCTAATTAGTTGATATGCTGACTCCTTACAATCTTTATGATTCTTACTAAAGTCTATCTCTATATGTAAACTTGGATATTGTGCAGGATGACGTTGATGCAAGGATTGTTGTAGCTGGTATGTCAACAACCTGTAGTCAGAAGATTCATAATCAGTTGGTATTTAACTACTTTAATGGTTACTTTTCTGTCAGAAGTATGTAGTTATGAGTTTCTTTTTTCGAGAAGTAGACTAATGTGATGACTGTTCATGAGTTGTTAACATTGAATTGTTTAAACTCAGTTGTTGATATATTATCTTGAAAAACTGAATGGAGAAGATACGCATTCTATTGGATATTGCATTTTATATACAGTATTGTATGTCTTGCAGGTTGGGGTAGAGAACATGCATAAAGACACTAAGTATGTCTTATTTCTGGATGATGATGTTAGGCTGCATCCTGGGTCGATAGGAGCCCTCACTGCTGAAATGGAGAAAAATCCTAATGTATGCTGATATAAAAACCATTGCTGTATCAGTTTTCTAAAGTTATTTTTAGCACTTGAACCTGATTGGTTAGGCTTATTCTTTTATTTTGTTTGTTTGCCTGGCAAATATGTGCAGATATTTATTCAAACTGGATACCCGCTTGATTTACCATCTGGAAGTTTGGGAAGTTACTGCATATATGAATATCACATGGTACAAATTTATCCTGGACTTTTGTTATCTTTTTGTTCTATCATCTATGCATTATAAATATGTGTTGACAATAAATATTCTGGAGTTTTCAAATGAGCTAGTACAGTTGTGTGGTGCATTGATTTTGTAGGATTGAAGAGGACGATTGTGTTATAAACATAGAGATGTTGCAGTGGGTTGACAAATAGTAAATTTTCTTGGGTCGTTTTTTATTGGCTATGCGTTACATCAGATCTTGGGTGTAATGGAAAGTGTATAAAGGTTGGCTAGAGTGTACCCCAATTACCTCCCCACTCAATGAGAATACGATTTAAAATTTTTGGAAGTTAAGCAACTCACCACTTAGGTGCAAGGAGTGTTAACTAGGCAAGAATGGGTTCCTTATACTCTGATGGACTCATGGGGGTAAAGAAGTTAGTTTAGAAAAAGAACTTGGAATTTAGGGACACTTAACTGTTGTAAAAGGTTTTATATTAACTCAAAAAATCATTTTGACATAAAATAGTATGTAATACTCTTGAAGGGTGTCCATATGACGTAAAGATGATGAGTTAGCATCAAAAAGTGTATATATTTATCTTTAAAATGTTTTTAAATGACTTTAACTAGTGTAATCACATTGAGTTTCCGAGTAATTAACCACTAGTAGCAGGTGTTATATGAGCTCAAATGAATTATTTTGCATAAAACAAATAGTAGGCATAATGTGGAAGAAAGTCAATATAACTTGGCAGAGGATCTAAAATAGTAGGATACAAGGAGAAAGAATTAGGGAGCACGTGTATAACTTTGTTTCACGGCTAAGGAAAAGAGTAAAAATGGTGCAAGAATAATCATTGACCCAGTGTAAAAGATGCAGTGGTATAAATTAAATAGATTGATGAGATGAAGTCTTATAGTGAAGAATTTCATATTCCTCCAGGCATGTATCAAGGTTTACTTTGGCCTCTTACCTTTTCACTTTTGTCATGAATAAGCTTATGAGACAGTTGAGCTGATAAGATACAGAGGGTGATAAATTGTATGCTATAATTTTGGGGGGTCACTATGGAATTTATGGGATTTAATTTAACTAGAACTAAGACGAAATATATGTACGTTCTTCTAGTAATAGCAAGAACAATGATGATAGTGAAGTCACTATAAAGTGTCATATTATCCAGAAAAGAAACAGTTTTAAGTAGCTAGGCTTAATTACTAATATGGGAGGTGGACATGAAGACAATGTAACTCGTAGGATTAGATGAGATAGATGGAATGAAGAAGTTCCAGTAGAACAAATTAGAACAAGGAGAGGTAGACCATAACTGATATGGTTCAAGGTGGTTTTAAAGGATTTGATTATCACACTTCACATCATTCCCTAGCATAAATCAAAAGATGAAGTGTTATGTGCTTTGGTCTTTTCATTCCATGCGTCGTAACTCGCGAGGACCAAAACGTTTTGTTCGTCTTAAAAGTGTAGTCCATTTCTGCTATTAACCAGATAATTGGTAAAAAAGATTGCATGAAATTTTGACAGCATGCTGGCTCAACGAGCACATTGAACAAACATCTTGTAGTGTGTTTTTTTTTGAGTTGGAGCTTTGGGCATTGCTCAATATTCATTTTGGAACTGGTTTTAGTGAAATGTGGGATTCATTTCATGAAATTAATTTTCTTTCCGTGCATTAAGTCATCTTCAATTTTGAGCATAATTCACGATGCAACTTGGAACTCTGTAATTGTCATTGAAATTCATGATTTCAGTGCATAAATATAATTTTCTTCATGCAAATTAAAGGAGAATTTAATTGAATTTATTATTTGCAACATGGTTGAACAGGAACTCAGCAAAATATTTTGAGGGAGGGAGGGAGAAACATATAATCGGGTTTTTTTCCTCAACCATGTTAGTCACGCACTTCAATAAATTTGTACTTATCTACTGTCTTCATAATTTTTCCTCTTTCTCAATTATTGTCAACGAGCAACTAGGTTTTGTTGCATTTATGCTAGTATCATAAGTGTTTTAGGATCACACAGAAATGTGGTCAATTGGTATCGTTTGACATATAACTACTTGGTTTCATTTGGTTATGGTATGTGTTTTATAATGCCTTGCATACCATTTTTCTTCTTGGTGCAAACCTAACAGTTCATATCTATTTTTAGCCTTGTTCAATGGGGTTTGCAACTGGTGGAAAAACATTCTTTTTATGGGGAGGATGCATGATGGTAAATTTTGCAAGCTTATTCAGAATCAATCATTATTATAGGTTTCAAGAATCTCAATTTTGAATTTTCTCATTGCAGATGCATGCAGATGATTTTAGAAATGACCGCCATGGTGTTGTTTCAGAACTTCGAGATGGAGGCTACTCAGATGACATGACTCTTGCATCTATTTCTGGTATTATGTTTGCAGTACTTCTCCTGCTTAACTGTATATGCTCCGACTAATGCTGTGTACATAATTATTGCCTTTTTTAACACGACTAAACATCCAGTTGTGGATTTGGTTTTCTATTTTATGTTATATAGGTAGTTAAACTATTTGCACTTGATGCTAATACTTCTGTTCCTTTCAGGGGCTCATAAGAGGCTGATTACATCTCCACCTGTTGCTGTTTTCCCCCATCCTCTTGCCACTGATCTTAACTTTGGAAGGTCTGTACTGTATAACTAAAACTCTCAATGATCCAGAGTCATCATTTATGTGCTTATGGTTGGTCCTTCTTACCTCTATCTTTTTATTATTTTTTCGCCCTCTTTTTGTGTAGATACTGGAATTATTTGAGGAAGCAAACATTTGTTTTAGAGTCGTATGCGACACCAGTCAACTGGATCATGAACCGTGCATTATTTTCGACGCATTGCTACTTGTCTTGGGGATTTGTAATGCCATACATTATGGCTGGGATACATGTAGCAGCATCTCTAAGGTTTTTTTCTGAAGGGAACTCACTTGCCGAAACAGATTTTCCAGCTTGCGGTGAGCACTTTACTTCTGGCTTTACTTCTGGGCAACTTAGGTTGTTTAGGATTGAAGAATTTAGTGAGCTCGGGACCGGAACATTAGCAGTATGGTTGATAAATCTAGAGACCTTCACTTTGTTCTCACTTTTTTACATCATTTTTTATGTCTTGGCATTTGGAAGCATCTGGCTATTGACTTAACAATTAAACAGAATAAATTATTAGCATGATTACTCTGAAGTGTTTATTTTGTTCTATGCAATCACTTGAAATGACTTGGTCACATAGAATTCGAAGTGTGAGCAATGTGAAGGTCTATTTTGCTGATGTTTTGACTAGAATAATCTATTATGCTTGAATGGCATTAGAGGCTGAAGCATGAAGTCTTTGAAATAAGTACTGCTGCTCTTGGATATCTCCATCACTTCTCTTGATATGGTCAGGGTTGAAATTGGTTGGCTGCCTTGTTTTATGTTCAACCATTGAACTTCTTTCCATGTGGAACCTGACAAGAATAGAGGTGCAGTTATGCAATTTATTGTCTCCTGAGGCTCCTCCGTTATCACTTGCATCTTATAACTGGTGTCTTGTAAGTAAACCTCTATTTTTCTCCTAAAGTCAACCATTTATCTTTCCATAATTTTAGACCTACCAACCTTTAAAATATTAATTTTATATGGAAGATTAAAGAGTAGAAGACATTATATTTTATGCAGATAATAGTACTCTCTAGTTAACCTATGTTAGTTGGACGTCACTTCGGGTAATGACATTGATATGCACCCAAATTTCATACATGCAAAAACCTGTAATCCTTGATTAAACAGATAGTATACGATGTTAATATTTCTTAATTGTGTTTTCATTTCAAGGTAAAATGTGTCGAGTTCATCATCATGAACCATTGCAAATGGGATTTGAAATAAGCTATAGGACACAAAATATGGGATACATGTTTCTTGCCTTTGTCCAAGTTTTGGACGTGCAACCTGCACTTAAATGCATTCAGAAAAATTACTACAGGAAGTGAAGTCATTAGACGTACAACGACCAGGCTCCTCTCGTTAATTGACACATGCTGAGACAATGATATAATTTTCCACTGTTACTGATACTTATCTTGATTTTTATTTGAGCAGGTATTTGTTGCAATGCTGGTTGATAATTTTTTGTACCCCATATCAGCTGTAAATTCACATTTTTCTCAGTCTATCAATTGGTCTGGCATCCGATATCATTTGAGAAATGGGAAAATAAACAAGGTACGATTACTTTGAGGCCATTTAATTAGTCTTAAAATAACCACATTTGATGAATTTATTCATTCATGTGAAGCAATAGTAATGTGTATGGAGGTTTTCCCACCCCCTCTTTCTCCGGGGCTCTACTAGTGGAGAAAACTAAAGAAATACACTTCATAATTACCACTTCTCTCATTCTCATTCACTTCTTTTTTTAATTACAATTAACATGTTGCAAAATCGTAATCACAGAGCTTACTCTGGCTTCAAATGATCAACTCTTCCTAGTAATGTATGAATATTTGTGTTTTCTACCATGAAAACTGTCAAAGCATTTAAACAAAGAACTTTCGAAACATTGATTATGGTAAATGCTGGAAAGGGTACATAATCAGAGTGAAAACTGCCATCTCGGATAGATTTATGGAAAATTTTGTGGAAATGTCAACTACTGAAAATAAAGAGACCCTTAAAATCAAAATGGGTAAACAGTTTCATTTAGAAAATAAAAAATTCAACATATGTAACATGCACATTCGTTGTTTATTCTGCAGATTGAGAGAAACAAAGAGAAGGGCCCTAAGTTCACAGATTTGGGAGGAAAGCATTTATATGGTAAAAAAGGAGCTCAAAACAATGCTTCTTTTCTCTCATCTTTGTCCAGAAGTCTGGCTCATTGGAGGCAACCCAAGAAATATGATGTATAGACAGACAAAGGGAGAGCTTTTAGGTACTACAGCTTGTGATAATTTTGTCTTTCATGTTTATATTTATCGCAAAACGACACCAGGAGGAAAATTTCTTGGAATTATTTATCATATCACCTGGTATATTTGAAGTGAGAGACCCATCTTTGATGAATTTAAGTGGTAGCAGTTTTGCCAATTTTTTCAATTATTGATTCTTGAGGTTGGATTGAGGCTTGTGTAATTTTAGCGATATCATTTTGTAACTTTATGACATTATTTATGCTCAATTTTGTAACTTTATGACATTGATTATGCTCAACAATACTTCAGTGCTGTTGAATAGGATATCAAAAGATGTATTTTTGTTTGTAAGTTAATTGTAATTCTGTATAATTCTGTACAGATTAGAATTATGTTATTTCCTTGTGAAGAGGGGGCAAACGATTCTTGTTGGCAGAACTTTGAAATAATTTAGAAACATGTAGCAAGTGATCCTGATAATCATGAAGTTCTCTTCAGAATGTGAAAACTAAAACACAAACCAGCCACAATCACTCGGTCCACGTATTGTTGAAGATTATATTTATGAACAACTTCAAGTTAGGTTCCCTAACTCGTTCAATAAGTAGAGTTCATGCCACTCTTTTCGAGCCTTGTTTAGTAACTTACGATTCTGTTATAATTCCCATGTTCATCATGCTATGAATATAGGTAGGCAAATAAACCGGGATCTTCAAAGACGCGTGCAGTTATCTAACAGCACATATGTGGAGAATTCAATTCTTGACTCAACCATTTCCTACATCTCTAGTAAAGTTGAGAGACTGTTTGATTTTTTGCACATAAAAAAGATAGCAATCGAAATATAATTTATGAACAAATTTTATCTGAGGCATTTTTAAGAATGTCCAATTATAAGGGTTAGAGTTGAAAAGTGTACTTTTTTAATAATCCTTGCAAAAATGTCCAATTTTTAGATCAAAATGTCTACTTTACCCTCATGAAAACATTAATCAATTTTATATCACTTTAGCACAATTTTTAAGAAGAGCAAATAACTTCCACGAGAAGCTACAATAATGTTGCTATTACCTAGGTAAGTCCACTTACTTACACCACTTGCTTACATTTTTAATTATATTTTAATCAATTATTCTAGAACAAATGAAGAAGAAGCAAAAATTCCATTAACATATACGAAGAAGTATATGATTCCAACTTCAAAGAAATCATTTTAAGGAATTTACTGTAGTAGAAATTTGAAGTTGATTAAACTTTCATCATTTGTCGGTAGAAGGTATATTTATTTGAACTCTATTTTTTCGAACTCTCATTTTTTTGATAAATTTTATTTAATAGTTGTTGTTATATATGTTCAAATCTCAATTTTTTGATAAGGTATTTTTTCCCTTCAATGGACGAAATTATCCTAAGTATATATTTTTTGTACCATTCATTTTAAATAACTTAGTTAGATAATATACTTCTGTATTTAGAATAACATTTATGGTAAAATAAATTCTTGTAAAAATGGTGGTTGAAGTTGAAGAAGATGATAAATGCATGAAATCCCGTCATTTCATTCTTGACATTTTATAAATGTCAATAATGATAGTATAAATATCGTTCACGACATTTATAAATGTCGAGAATGATATTTATACTATCATTCTCGACACTGTCAAATGTTGACAATAACATTAAAAACTTGAGTAAGTTGGGAAAATTTCGTGTATAGCAATTCACATATTGCATGCAGGTAGCAATTTCGTTTTCGATTTTCGTTAGTGGTTGACGGTATTGTTGTTTATAACATGCAGATATGGGAGATGTTAAGAGATTTGTTGTCTCGTATGGTGGTAGATTCGTCAACATAGACGACGGGTGGAAGTGGTTAGGGAATCGAACAACATCAATTGTTGTTCGACATAATATTACATATGAAGAGCTTGTACATAAATTATTTAAGAAGCTGAATGTTGATAGAATGAAGTTCCGAATTCAATTGAAATTTACAGTTCCGAACATGAATATACCCCCTGCTGATGTAGCTGACGATGAGGATTTACAATGGTTTATGTCTATTCACACAGAAGCGGCGTTGTGTGTAATTGTAGATTAATATAATGCTGGAGAGCACGAACTGCATGTCGGAGTTGGGCCTTTGTCACCAATAGAAGATGCATTGTGTGGACGCAATGAATTCAGTATGTGCGAACTACAAGAGCCACAAACGATTGATAATATGGATGAAAGTTTAGGTGAAGGCAATTTGTTTATTAGAAATGCAATTGAGTCGATTGATGAAAAGGACATTGTGGAGAATCAGATATTCTTTAGCAACCAACAATTACACACAAGGCTTCAATTTAAGGCTTTGAAAGAGAAGTTTCATTTCAAGGTTAAAAAGTCGAATCCTAGATCTCTTACTGTGTGTTGTGTCGATATTACATGCCATTGGCTAGTACGAGCTTCTAAAATAAAAATTTCAGAAATATTTACGATTCGAGAGTACATACCTAAGCACACATGTTCTCTAGACGTTCGGCGAAATGCACAAATTCACGCAACGAGTGTAGTAATTGGACATCACATAATGCGAAGGTTGGACGATGCAAACCAATCATACGTTTCTACGAGTATTATTGGGCATATGGAACGTGAGTTTGGTGTACGGATTACTTACAACAAAGCGTGGAGGGCTAAAGAGAAGGGACTTTGATTTCTTCGTGGTACACCCGAAGAAAGTTTCCAGAAATTGCCATCATATTGTCACATGTTAACCGAGAAAAATCCAGGAACTATTGCACACATTGAACTCGACTCGAATAATATGTTCTTGTACTTCTTCTTAGCGTTCGGGCCTAGTGTACATGGTTTTCGAAGTACATGAGGCCAGTAATTTGTGTTGATGGAAGTCATTTGAAGGGCTAATATAAGGGAACACTACTAGTAGTTGCAGTGCAAGATGCTAACCTACAAATATATCCTCTTGCATGGAGTGTTGTCGATGGGGAAACAAATGCATCGTGGTATTGGTTCTTTGCAAAGTTGAAAAATGTCGTTGATGATTCAAACCAGCTAGTGTTTGTGTCGGACAGGAAGAAGAGTATTAAGCGGGCAATTACGAAGTTGTTCCTGGCATATCGAGAAAAATCTTATTGCTAGGTATAGCACTAGCAATGTCATCTTCTTATTCAAGCAGGCAGCGCTAGCATACCGCGTATCGGAATTTGATCAGTTCATGACACAGATAAGAACCAGTCGACCGTCAATGACATCTTACTTGGAACGTGCCGGTATATCCACCTGGTCACGGGCACATTTTGTTGGTAATCGGTACAACGTTATGACGAATAATATTGCAGAGTCACTGAATTCAGTCCTAAGGCGACAAAGAAGTTTCCCTATAATCTCGTTGATCGAAAATATTACGTCATTGATGCAACGATGGTTCTACGAGAGAAAAAGTGTATCCATGAAATGTAGTACGACTGTGACACCAAAAATTGATGATGATTTGAGAAAATCATTCGACGCCGGTGTAACTTTACCAGTACGAAATTTGGACGAACTCATTTTTGAGGTAGGTATAGCTACCGAACTTTGTACTGTTGACCTTATAGGTAACACATGTTTATGTCGAGAGTTTTAGATGCGACAAATCTCATGTTCACATACATCCCGAGCTGCTTGCGCAAAAGAAAAATCATTTGTATGATTTGTGCTCCCCTTACTACACCACAGAATATTGGCGAGCTGCGTACAACGAAGTTCTTCACCTCGTTGGCCGAGAGTCAGATTGGGTTGTTCCTCGATCTATTCGTTCCGTTGAAGTTTTGCCCCCGAATATACGTAGAGCACCAGGTCGACTTCCTACCCAACGTCAACGGTCAAAAACTGAAAGGTCGACGTTGAGACGAAAATGCGATCGATGTGGGGGTTCTGGACATAACAGGCAAACATGTTAGAATTCGACATCTTTAAGTGACGCGTATACTTGAATGACATTGTGTATTCCGATCGTCAAATGCCCTGATAACATGAATTATCAATGTTTTGAATTTTTCTCCTTTGTATTACTTGCTTTCTACCTCTTATTTTAAATGTTGTTGAATATATTTTTGACTTCTACTTTTTTCTGTTTCTTTCTTCGTTCTCTCTTGATATCACTTATTTGTAATTGCTTGTTGTAAAATTAAGTTTGTAATACATTTTGAATCCTTTATACGGATTCATCCCATTTTTTGTGATTTTTTTCTTATATTATTCTAGTCGTTCAAAATTTTATAGTGCACAAACAGGAAAATTCATATGGACATTCACTAAATACAAACAACACTTCATTTTAGAATGTCATAATGGATACAAACAAGAGAGGCCAGGTTTGGGGTATAACTACCAACAAGGAAAATCGTGCTTACATATATTCTTATGAACATTTGACTACGATATCATTTTGTTCATCAAATAAGTGAACAAGCACATATATATTTCATCACTGGGATTTTCTTAATCATTGTAGACACAATGTAGTAATGGATACAAAAGCAACCCATGAATGACTCGTTCTCCTAAGTCATTGGAGCAGACAAAATGGTAATCACAACAAAAGGAAACCATAACTCCAATACATATCGTAGACAACTATTTTACAAAATGGTGATCACCTATATGAATTTTATAGCACTACTATATGTACGTAAACATTTCACTTATGATGACTGCATCTTCTACATATCCTCCACGACGGACAAAGAGGACATATCACTGTCATACTCCTCGTCGAAGCTTATGATGATCACATCTTCATTTTCGACGGGAAATGCTCCAACATTTTCATCCAACAACACATGATGTGCTTCCGGTTGGACCGGTACTGGGACGATCTCACGATGAACTTGAATTGGTTCAATTTCATCGATTAGATTCGAAAAAGGGATTGGTTGAAGGCAAACCCTACGATGGCGGTTCGAAGGTTGACGAACATATGGAATTAATACACCATTTGATTGCCTTCACTCTTAGTTAAATTTGGTTGAATCATATTTATGTTGACATTTGATGCCGTTCTCGATATTTGTAACGTCGCTATCGACATTAAATAGCTGTTAATCTCGACACTTGACATTACGAATGTCTAGAACGACACTTGGACCAAAATACGATATTTCTCTACATTTCTTCGATTTTCGGACGTTTGATATGTCGTTCTCGACATTACATAGCTATGAATCTCGACGATTGATATTTCATTTGTCTAGAATGACAGTTCGAGAACATATTACATACTACCATATAAATCGAAATATGCAAACCACTGTGTAAACCAAAATACATTTTACGTACCACCACATAAAACCAAAATACATGTTATGTACCACCACCTAAAGCAAAATACATATTGCAAATGACGGTATCATGAACCGGCTGATCATCAACAGTCACACAAGCAAAGTACAGCTAAGCACGACAACTGTTTCACTATCAGGGATAAAGAAAGTATTCGTTATTCAAAAAATCGATCGCAATCTTTCTTCTGTATATTGACATCCTCTTTGCTGAAACTGATTCTATTGGATGCCCGAGAACAAAGCATTCTATATACTTGAGTACAAACATTATGCAATTTGGCCTGTACAATAAATGATTTTTCGTTAGTCGAAATTAGTATATACAATAGATTAACTAGGTAGTAAATAACAAGAGTTGAAATGCTCACCCATTGTTCGCACACGGCAGATAATGTATAATCTCCATCTTCATTGGATCATTTATATGTTTCCTTATATCTCTTCTAGTGGACAGGGGTAGACACTGCAGTAATCCTTGAACGACTGTGCATGTTGCTTCTGCGTATGCCTTGATTGCATCAGGTGTGTGAACATTATTGCTGCAGTCGTATATGTAGAATTTTCATTCAGGAATATTGACCAGAAACAGATAACATTCATTGTCTGGATATGAACTCGGAATTAATAAATACTTGCGTCCCATCCATATACGACCAGCTACAGGCAATGTACCGTTGACGTAACCTTGTAGGCGAGTTCCATCCGATTCACCTCTCTGGTTATATTCCATGTGCCGCCTCATTTGCTGACAACACTTCTCTTCAAATTGAAAATGCAAAATTGCATATTTTTTATTGACGAAAGTACAATCTTCATTCATACGCTACCTCAATAACTTCCGCTCCAGCTCAATATGCTAATGCAATAAATATATGTAACATATATTAGACATATTAACTACGAAATCAAATTTATTGTGATTGCAAACCTTCACTCACCACAATATTCAGATCATTCGTCGGATCCATTAAACTTTTTAGCATGTCTCTTCCATAGACATTGCCACGGCCATCGTCCAAATATGCACTGTATAACATAATTTAAATTATTGTCAAATAATTCAACAAATAATTTTTGACATTGATATAATAATGTTTAGCATTCGGACTATTCAGAATGAGTTACATTTGTTACCCAAATTGATTTCTCGATATCCAATTCCTAATATTTTTGTACTTGTTCATGTCGTAGTCTTCTAAGGGACGACCTGTGGGTGATGAAGCCTGTGTGTATTTCATCTTCTTTTTCCTTTCTCTTCTCCGCATGTCAACACTTTCTGCTGGTTGAGACGTTGATGTCTCATGCGATTGAACAGTAGGATTTGGACTTGCATTGAGAGGAACATCCTGCTGCATGGAACCTATAATGGCTTCCATTGTGAATTCTCAGTTAGATAATCTGTTTAGCATATTCTTGTTCTTTTCGTCAATGTAAGATCTAACAAAACATAAACTTGTATCAATATAAGACTGTATGTGCTCCTGTTGCTGCTAGAATAATTCTTGTTGTTTTCGAAGAATCGCCTGATAATGGGCTTCTTGTTGTTGCGATTCCTGTGCCATATGAGTGCTAAATATATTTGATAGAGAATTATCCATGTATAACTGCATACCACATAGCATGCAATCTTGCATTGATTTGTTATGTTGTTCGAACAGTTGCTTTTGGCTTTCAAGGATATCCTGGTTCAGGGCTCTATTCTGCCTTCAAGTTGCCACACAGATTGGACACATCTGATATCGTATGTTGCCTGCACATACCCAACATTTCTTCCATTCGGTCTTCAGTTACATATTTGGAGGCACCAGAAGCAGAACTAGGTCCAACTCCAGTTGAAGTTCTCGATGTACCACGACAGGTCGTTTCTTGCACACGTATGTTATCCGGTATTTGTGGTACTGCATTATCTACTTCTCCAGTGATAATGACATCTAATATATTATGTTCATCGTCAGCCGGCAGTGAAATATTTGTGTACCAGGGTGTTTGTAATTCTTCTTTTGTAGGCTGCAGCACTACAATAACTTCGATCTGTAATCATAACAAACTATCAGAATCCATTTGTTTAATTGAACTTGTTAATAATAAAATGCGAATGTCATTCTACGTTGAAAATAAAAAATTCATACATCTTGAGTATCCAAAAATTGCTTAACAACTAATTCCTTCAATATAGTATTAGGCCTCCAATTATAGATTCGTGAATCTGCATCGTTCTGTATTTACGGTGACCAAACTTTTGTCCAATTCGTGGAAACGCTTCATATATCCAATACTGCAACGTAAAGAAAGAGAAATGTAATGTATAAATTTTATTCTTTGTATAAAGAAATTATACATAATACGTAAGTAATTAGAATAGGAACATAATACCTGAAATGCGAGTGGATAGCCTTGCAATGCATACTTACATTCTGTTTGTCCATTTTGTTGCATCCTTAGTATTATTTCCAATTGTGACTCTTTCAATGAATTTAACAAAACGAAATATGCTATCTGGCCCCACGGATACGTAAGGAACTCATCCAGATGTTCAAACATGCCCAGAGTTCTATAATCAACTTGTCGTGAAGTCGGTTTCAACACATACTTAACCAATATAACTAATCTCAACTTAAATTTATCTTCTGTATCTTCACACATGTGGAAAGTTTCAAAAAGCATTATGTTGCTATTTTTTTTTGTGCCATTGAAGTAATGATTTCTAAGACGATCGTTATTATAATCAATTTCTACGGATGGTTCATGGCAAGGTAGTCTAGTAATGAGGCAAAATTTTTGCAAGCCAAACCTAGCATGATGGTCATCTAACCGTACCCAAAGTTCATTGTTTTTGCCACAACGCACAAGTCTCATTATAAATTCGTGTACCAACTTACTAGTAAATTGTTCTTCGTCTCCTTTGAAAACAACTCCATATATAAATCTATAAAAGTTACTACACATCAAATAACATTGTTGATTTGCATCTATGAAATCTACAAAATCTTGAACGTATTGACGATTTAGATACTGAAGGATAATACCAGAAAACCATTGTTCTGGAGAGAGAACATATTCTAAAGACATCTGCATCAATTATACAAGAACTAATATTTTTAAACAATTGTTTATTTGATTGTACACATCTATTATAGTAAAACAAAGTACTGTTAATTGTACAATTATTTAAGAATTAATATTTCCAAACAATTATTTAAGAATTAATATTTCCAAACAAATATAATTTTTTCATGTCTTGTATACTAAACAAAATTAAAATCAAAAATTAATATTTTAAACAAAATGTAATATTTTTGTTTATATTTGACGTAAAATATATTGGGTGGGTAATTACACAAAAAAAAAAAAAAAATATTGTGGTTGCATTTCTGTGTCTCCGTGACACTAGTGACACTCTCATAGTGTCATGGAGATGCTGTCTCGGAGACGAGATTTTTTGAGTAAATTGTAGTTTAAAAGTATATTTTGTTTCAAGATATTCAACTAACTACTAAGTAGCACAAATATTAAATACAAATTTTGAATTACTTACCTTTTCTGATCAAATGAGCGTCTTTTTTAAGTGAATGTGCGAAATATTTCCGACTAAATGAATGTGAGAATGAAACTTGAAT